CATAGGCTGTAATATACACAGTCCACTTTGTGAGTGAGTGAAAACCCTCTCTGTTTGTTCGAATGAAGTTCGGTGCTGCATGTAGCTGGACTCTGTGGTCGCTTCATCCTCTCATTAATTACTGCTCGCAGCTGAATTTGATTTGCCACTTCCCCCTGTCCATCATCCACTTCCCCCTATCTGATTTCCTCCGAGGGGCCGGGGTTTGCATGCTTTGGCTGGGGCCGAGGTGCTTATTGATCTCCCATCTGCTTGGGCTCGTGTGATCAGTGAAGAGCGATAGAGGCAGACGCTGCGGCTCCCTGCGGTACCGCGTTGCACACGCAGATGGGCCCTGTGCAAAGATGGCCAAGCGCACACGTCCCCCAGTGCTGTTGCGGCGTACTCTGACCAGAAAGGTCACACAAACAACAGGGAGATCAGGCTGTTTTGTGTTTTAAATATTGTTTGATAATGCACATAGTCTCTGTTTGGCTAGGGGTCCACAAAGGAGTTCTCAATAACTGGGGGGAAAAAAAAATCTATGCTTGTCTTAGATAGTGCATGCCTCTGACATTTATTAACTGCAGTGCAGCGGAGAGTCCACCTGGGGAAAGAAGTCTCCTGCATGTTTGTGTGAGAGAAAGGCCAACACGGAGAGCGGCGAGAACATTGAATGCACTAGACTGCTAGAATATATACTGCAAATACTGTTTCTTGTGCTGCCTTCAGGTGCAGAATCATAGAAATATTATTAGAAATAGCAAACAGCCCTGCAGTACATGCAGTATTGATTAAAGCGTACAGATGTGTGCCCTGTCTCCTGTGAGCTATTGATCTCGTTGGTGGCCATGCATAACATTTGGCATCGCAGCGAAGGACACATGCTCATTAATGAAGCCACATTTTAATACAGCGTGAATATGTTCAGATTAGTATGTTTCAAATGACTGTGTATTTTCAATCACGGCATGCATCATATTCTCAATATCTTTCCAGCACGCTTAGCTTTGACTGGAACCTCTGAAGGTGTTATTCTTCTCTCGACTTAAACCATTCTGTAGCAGAGGTAGATTAAGCTCTGTCAAACATCATTAGTGTTTCCTTTAGCCAAGTTGCAACATGAATCTGTTTCTCTTGTACATTTTCCACTTGAGGAGAGAGGGTCAATACAGGGTTGGATGCAAGGCTCTCATGGAGCCAGATAAACAAAGGTGGCACTTCAGAGAGCATGTTCGGTTAAATCCTCTGCTATAGGCAGAGAGAAGCTTTACAGAAAACATTTAGAGAAACGTTTGCTTAACAACTCATATGTGACTGTAGGCTTTTTTTCCACACATTTTTCTTGTTCTCTGAACAGAATTCCAGGTGCCAGACAGCTGCCTTCTCTTCTGCTTACCAGCAGTTAGATGGCTGAAACCAAAAATGGACACCCAGGCCTTAGTTATTCATTAAGGTTTCAGTACCTACATTTAAGTTAAAGAACCCTTGGGCTGGGGGTGAGAAAATAATAATAAAAATTCTTGTCCTTTGTGCTATTATTATGTCCTAGATATCATCAGTGCCTAGAACACGGAACAACTGCACATACCATTATAAAAAGACAAATTTAGACAAATTATAAAAACCTGCAAAGCATCAACATTGAGTGGATATTAACAACAGAAACTGCAGAGTAACTGCACAGTAACATGCAGCTGATTGTACGTCAGCCCATTACTTTTACCAATTGTTTGGTTTTCTCATGGGCCAATCCACCTGGATTAGCATTTAAAAGAAAGTGAATAAAATTAATAAAATTCAAACAGTTTAGCAAAGTAGCCCTAACTATTCTGCACTTCTGAAGTACAATATACATCTTCAAATATCAGTGAAATACCAGTCAAATCAAAATGTCCATTGCTTATTTTTTTCAGAATCAGAATCAGAATGTCTTTATTTTGCCAAGTATGTTACACATACAAGGAATTTGTCTTGGTGAGTCACAAATGTATGATACATTTAACATGTAACATACTAAATAGACCAAACAAGTACACAGACTGTTAACAAATATTTCTCCAAAGGATAAATAAAATAAAAATACAATAAATAGAACAAAATAATACATTTGAAGGGAGCTAAACAGATGCGTGAATATCTGTACATAGACAGATTTGAATATCTATACATATGTAGGTTTAAATAGACATATAAAAACTATTATACACAGAATATTACAGAATGATGAACATTGAAAATATGTATTTTTTGCAGACAAAAAAAAGCATTGTTGCATCATTTCACAAAACATTGTTTTTAATAGCCTCTCTTAAATGCGGCAATACATTTTGTTTTGCTGGTGCATTTTGTTTGTTCCTAAATATTGTGATGCATGTCATGTATCGTGAAAATGGCTTCAAGTGTTGTGATGTATTTGTGCCATATCGTTCACCCTTGCATTGCAGTGCTGTATCTAGGCTTAAAACCTTTATTCAGGCAGTTGAGATGGAATGGCAGAAATCATGTGCTGTTGGATCTCTTTAGTCAGCCTAAGAGTACAGATTTTAAACAAATTTATAAATTAATTTAATGGAGCTGGCTTTGCAGATGGACAAGGCTGCTCAATTAATTGTATTAAAACTATGATCTTGATTCATCTCTCAGTGCAGTTTCAGTAAAGATATCAAATCAACTGTATTTTATTCCTACAATGTAAAAATCTACTTAAAATACGTAGTTGTTTGCAAAATTGGAATGTCGAAGACTCGTTCCTGAGAGCTGTGATCTAAATTCTAAGCCAAGATGTCGGAATTCCAATTCAGTCAAGAATCCCGCAGCCCTACAGTGGCTATGATTAGTGTGATTACAGTGTGATTGACTTTATATTGTGCATGCTAGCAGGGGTTTCCTAAATTAACTATTAATGTAACCACTTCTTTTGTGTCCTGTTCCCTGTTGGGAGTTTGTTTCTAATCTCCCTGCACAGCCTGGCCAAATGCGAGATGTCTAATTAATGGTCAACACAGTGAGTCTTGTGACCAATGAACGACACTCGTGATTACGACAGTGTGCTTTAGTGAAGGTGAAAGCAGACAGATGAGCTATTGTATATTGTGTTTGCTATTGTATATTGTGTTTGCTGTTTGATTTTTGTACGGCTGGCCTCCTGCTGCCATTGCCTGATTATAGTCAGTGGAACCCAAGAGTGCATCGCTCTCCTTCTCTGAGGAACCATGCCATTACCTCCTCTAGTTTACCTAAAGGATCTACCCAAAGAATATATTGGCTTATCCACACCACATTATATGAAAATGGATAAGTAATGCAGTCCTTAACACACAATAAAACCCGAAGAGGTGTATTTTTATTGTTTCAATATGTAGCTCACGCGGCGCTTTAACTACATTTTATTAGGTGTGAAATTAAAGAATTAATAGGATGATGTCTGCCATTGCATAAAGTGGGACATTTCATTTAGCATGAGATGTAGGTGGCTGGCACTCTGCAGGAAAAGAGCCAGGTTAGAGAAACAGCGGCTTGCCCTTTTAACACCACATACCTCCATCTGAAATGGGCTTTCATCGAGCCTACTGTGAAAATATGAAAAGACAAAGCTTTATGTGTTGTCACATTGCCTGCGGGACACTAATTGAGGTGGGTTGCTGGTGGCAGGGGCTGGCGGGGGGTAAAATAAAAAGAAAAGAAGGAAAGAAAAAGAGGACAGAATGTAAAAGATAATGTATAGCTGTGTTGGGCGCTCATGAGGAACAGTGGATTTAGTAAGGATGAATATCAATGGGAATATTCAGGTTGAAGGCTTTATAGGGTGGGATGAAAGCTGTGCCACATTTCCACTACAACCAGAGAATGTATAAAAATGCCTTAGCCTTCATTGAAAGTTATGTCTGTGCAAGGCTACTGCATCCCTATACACGTGTTCGGTGCTGTATGTAGCCATGCTTACAAAAGCCTATACAAAAGTCCTTAGTAGACTGATCTGTGGGGTATTGCTTCTCTCTTTCTGTCTCTCTTTTCCTGTTCTCTGCTGCTCTCTTGTGTGATTGCCTCTCTCTGTACAGTGTGCTGGATTTGTGTGGGCAGTGTGTGGTTAATGTGCTACAGTGGCGAGTGACATGATTACAGATTCATTTCCACGCCCGCCGGCACGAGCACTTGGTCAGGGCTGAGTGGGGGCACTGTTGATTGTAATGGAGGGTTACATGGCTCGACTGTTTGTTGTCGGGACGATGGGCCGCGCGGGCTGTTAGCAGGGGCATCTTGTCAGGGGGGTGTGCTGGTGGAGATGGGGAGGTTAGGGAGGGGGACAGCCCCTAGATAGACCTGGACCACCTAGAAAAGCTGATCAGCACCTGGGGGTCTGTGAGAGTGATTAGGAAAAAACACTCATTCAGCTGATTTTTCCCCCTTAAATAATGCATTTGTGCCTGGAAGGCTCTTATCATCCTTTGTGGTGTCAAGGACTGGTAACACCACTGGAACTCAGCATGAAGTGTTAGTTAAGGGTGTATTTTTTTGTTTCAAAACATCTCCCTGTTGAATAATGAACAGTTATTGCATGTTAATGCAAAAGCTGTTGAGCAATGAATTGATATACAAATGGATAGGAAATGTCTTGTTTTACGGTTTTAGGGGTGAGTGTGTATGATTAGTCAAGCGGCTGCTGCTGAGGGCTGAATTTGTGAGGAGGTGTTTTGCACATGGGGAGACTTGAAGGTCAGTTGTTTCACTTTTGCTCTGAGTGAAATGAGCCAGTAGTTTTTATTGTTTGTAAGGGACAAGCATTTGGAAAGGCTCTTTTGCTCCTTTGAAAGCATTTTGGATTTGGCCTTACAGCACTCTAGACCCTTGAACTGTGAAGCTCCCCCATGTTTATACCTCAGAGTGTATGCACACATACACACACACACACACACTAGCTACCATCACAGATTTTATCCTCTCTGGCATAATACCAAAAATATGAAACTGTTATCGTATAGGATACCTCTCTCTCTCACTCACTCTCTCTCTCTGTGTAGAGTATCCTGGCCCTCAACCCGAGGGTGAAGAGTCATGCCACGCTCTACTCTACTGCAGCCAAGAAAGCTGAGAAGAAACACTGGAAGCGAAACACGGAGAAAGGCTGTGATGTGAGTGTCCTCTCTCACCTTTAACCTTTGACTCTTAGCACACCCTCTCACACACACACACACTTACTGACTAACCAGTTAAGAGCAGTAGAACATGGGGACTTTGTACCGTGTCTAAGCTCAGACTGCTGTTTTCTCGGAAGTGCACCCCATCTGGTGAGGTTATATGATGCGGCTGTTTTTTTTTTTTTTGTTAACTTTTCACTTGTTCTCAAAATCCTAATCTATACATGGAATCCTGGCCACAGTAAACTTTTGCAGATTTATGACCAAAAACATAAAATGGGCTGTCGAATGATTAAAATGATTAATTGTGGTTTTTTGTAGTTAATTGTGATCACTTGCATTTGTCTTATTTGCTGAAATTTGGCCCAAAAGAAATATTTTCTCCATTTAAAAAGTGTGAGTTTTGTTATCGCTATTTTGTTATATGACTGGACATAATAAGCTTAATCACAATGTATTTATTTACTTTAAATATTTTAGCAGCAGTGCAGAGCAACAGTGACTGCATGTTCTAACCAATGAGTGTATATCTCATATATTGCTTATACAGTCAGTAGTTCCAACTCCTCCATGCTTGTAGCCTCTCTCTCGCTCTTGTTCATACAGCTTATGAGTTTTTGTTACAGTGGAGGCTTTTGAGGGGAACTGTGCTTTAGTTAGTTTGCTGCTTGTTGATTTATCCGTAGCACTCCCACGAGCACTGTCCAGCCCAGGCTGCTGAATTACAGTTTAGTGGTGTGTTTTGCTTGTAAATGATACTTCAGATTTGATGTACTTTGATGCACCATCGCAATAGCTGGAAATAAACTTTTTCAAGAGAGCTATCAATGGAACCATTCAAAAGCTGTATTTGAATGAGACGACAGCAGTCATGAAGGCGTAGCAACAGTGTGCACAGCTGGGCTTCAACCTTTACTACTATGGATGGTTCAAAGAGTCAAACTAGAAAAAAGCAGAAATTACCAGCACTAATTATAATTATAAGAGTGTTATAAAATTAGTGCTGATAATTATTTGGTGCCTTAATGAGTTATTAACAGCATTAAATGTGGTAACAGTGCTACAATATGAGGGATTTTAATACAGCATTAGAAAATCGATACAAAGCAGTGTATTGAAATACTGTGCATTGCTGAAATAAAAGTGTATCACGGACACACCCCTTGGTCACCCTACTTTCAGTGATAAGCATCTGGGTGCATCCTGAGTAAAGTGGGCAGGGAAAGGGCAGAGCTTCAGCTGTGAACACTTTCACACTGAGATGACGTGATTATTTTTTGAAGACATTTATAAATCCTTGTTTTTTTGGGTTTATTTTGTTAGAGGACAGCATGACATCTATTAGAGAACTTTTATTTATTCAAGCTAAACCAGTCTGTAAGCCATCTAATTGGAACCTGCTGAATCAAGACATTTTAAAAGACACATAAAAAAAATAATAAACTGAATATTGACCTCAGAATCAAATTTCTTATTAAACCTGAAAGTATGCATATAGTTACATCCCTAATGTGTACAAACATGCACACATGCACTCTCACATATACATATGCAAAGGCATAATGAAATATTATCATTTTGGGAATTTTGCATATGCAGAACAATAGATAAACAATTGAAATGCATGGCCGTGTTGAAACAATGCTACAGTATGAGAAGCAACAAGGATAAGCTACATACAGACATCTTGTGCACACATGTGTGTACACAAACACACACACACAGACACACTCAAACACAATTATCTTAGGATTCCAGGCACATGCTGTCAAAGTCTCAGGAATATCTCCCAAGACCAGTGTGCAGCTGAAGTGTTTGTTTTTTGGCAGGTGGCCACAGTGCTCGTCTGTCCTTTAAGGCAACTGAGACTTCGGCTTGTTTGATGTAGACACAAAACAAGATGGAGGTATTTTGTAGGAGAGATTATCTCCTCCCCACTGACTGCACTGTTGCTAAGTAAAACTGCCTAATTCATCATTCTAATCAATGGCAATGGATCAGGGACTTGATTTACTTCATAATGTGGACTATTCTATAGAGTGAACATTACGCCAGTGACTTTACAGTATCAAGCGTGATGAACTCTCCTGCCTTTTTGCAGCACAGTATTTTGTGAAGTAAAACACTGTAATCTTTTTTGTCTTGTCTGTATGTTGATATGAAATAGGAATGCATGATCAGAACTGACCAAGATCAGAATCACCCAATGTAAAAAAAAAAAAATATGATATACATATGATATATGATATATATAGTCAGTCAGTATATTATTTTGATTTGTGTTGCAGTTTTATGAGGTAAATAACATGAGTCAGGTAAGTGTGTTTGCTCTGTATTTGATTACTGCTGTTACCTGTCACCTGTACCAAAATATTGTAGTGTAATTATGGCTCATTGCGCTGAACTACCAGATTCATTTTTATTTATCTTACATTTTCAATGTAGCACTTTATTTGACTGATTTTTCATTTATGAAATATCATTTTTTTGAAAAATATTTTGAAAAATGATTTTTCATTTATGCCATTGACTAAATTGACTGTAAAGAAATTTGAATCAGAATCAGTCATAAAAAATTACGATCGATGCACCTCTAATAAGAAGTTAGGGAGATGTAAAGGGGGAAATAAGAAGAGAAATGTGATCTCATCTGCAGCAGCTATATGAGAATATGCAGTAAAACAGAGATTATTGCTCGTGGAGTATTATTTTTCATGCCATGCATTCCTCAGTGTCAATTCACCAATACATAAGTCGCTTTATCAGAATGCTGAGTCTGTCGAGCCAGTGACGATAACACAGTTTCCCCGTATTGATCGAGGTGAAGCAGATTTATCCTCTTCGTAAAGAAAAGGCAATGACCATTTTAGTGATCCTTAAAATAAGTTTTGTTGAGCCCAGAAGCATCGTCATAATTGTTCTGTGGAATCTCTGGGATGCTGGAGGGGCTGTAAACTTTATTTTATAGGGAATCTATGAACAGTGAATGTCCATAGATTCCAAATGAGTTCTTGAGAAATATGGTTGCTATAGCCAGCTGTTATCTTGGTCTGTCAGGGCCCAGGTGCTTGGGATTTTTCACTCGCCTCCTCTGGGCTCGGGGGCACATCGTCAGCGAGGTAATTTTGCAACACTTCCCCGCAGGCGTCATCCCTTACAGGGCCCGGTTTGAGTTGAAGCTATTAGCTGACCAGAGGCTTACCAATATTTGTCTTTCTGCTTCAATAGCACAGGTTGGAGCCAGAGATAATCTACCAAACACAAACAAGTACAAGTTTTGCAGCAGATGCAAAGAGATGGGGAGAGGAGACACACTTGAAGTGCCCTTGTTTTTGAAGATAACACTGCTGTTTACTGATGGGTTGGTTTTAATAATCTGCCTGTATGGTCTAATCCAATTTAATGAGTCTCCAGATTGCATTATGATCCCCGAGCTGCGAGTGAAGGGCAGGTATGTTTGCGAGACGCAGGAGCTAATGTTTTTTTTTTTTTGTCCCTGCTTGAGAACAAAAAGAGACAGACAAGGAAGGAGAAAGGAGAAATGACTTTTCTGTCTTTATCAGTGCCATTCTTAGTGAGGATGCCTAAATCTCTCCTGCCAAATCCCCCAGAGTTTTAGTGAGATGCGCCTCATAGAATAGCCATCTATACAAGCCAGAGGATGAGTGTGTCACTTCCATAGCGACAGTGAGTTATTGTGTGTGTGTGTGTGTGTGTGTGTGTGGGGCTCCTCCTGTCCTTTCTCCTAGTAGTCTTTGCTGTTTTCTGTCTGAAGTCTGGACTCTGCTTCTGGACATTGCTGCTGGGAGGTTTATTAGACATCAGAGATAATGGCTTTAATGAGCTGCAATGAAAGTGGGTGGAAAGAAAAAAAAATAGTTAAATACTTTCTGGAATTCGTTAAATATTTCAAATAGTCTCCCATGACAGTTTTGCTCAGCAGCAGGTCTTGACCAAGGTCCAATAGCAAATCTTCAGTAAATGATATTTTACAGTAGAGTTATCTCTCCTTCCCTTAAAAACTAATTTTACCTTTATGTTCCTTAAATGAATGAAGTATATGCGAATGAGAGCAAATCAGGTATGAAATATTTTTTTCGGAATTAAGATTAAGGCTCTTTGAAATTTTCGTATTTTAGAATAACTTGCTTTTAGGAAAAATTTTATTGTAAGCATTTACAGTTGTATGCAAAAGTGTTGGCACCCCTGGCTACATTACATGTTTTGGTCAATTTTGATGTGAAAATAAGCAATAACATAACATAAAATAAAAAAATAACGTAATCTCTGCAGCAAAATATAAAATAATAAATAAATAAATAAATCTGCATATATTAATGCACAGCTACTTTATATTTGATTAACCTTGATTAAAAAATGTAATTGTAGCATGTGCAAGTTTCAGAGCTTAATGAATTCTATAGGTCTTAATTAACTTGTTAGGACTGATTAGGCAGGTCAAGAATTGTCCTTAGGAATTGTGAGCTCATGACAATTCCAGAGCATTATAAATTCTCTGACTCTGCAAACTTTATGCTAACACTCAATAGCCATGAGCTCCTCTGAGCAGCTGTCTGAGGTCTTAAAAATGAAGCTAATTGATGCCTGTAAAGCAGGGGTAGGTTATAAAATATATTGGAGCGCCTCCAGCTCGCAGTTTCCACCGTAGTATCATTAAGAAATGGCAGTTAAAGGGGAACTGTGGAAGTTGAGTTCATCATGGGGACCATAAAATTCCAGAACTGCTTGTATGTTTGTTTGTGCTTTATTTCAACTCAGAAGAACACTGAGGGTGACCCTCATTTACAGTGTAGCTGAGCCAGTTAAACAGGAATTTAAAAAGTAAATTAAATTTACTCAACTAAAATAAATCAGAACTAACAAGACTAAATGTACAAAGAAAATGTATAATGAAAATAAAATGAATAACAGCTCAAATAAGAGAGATAAAACAGCAGTAAAATGTAATGAAAACAAATAAATGTGAATAAAAA